CGCGAATTTCTGAAAAATAAAAATTCGCTGGAACCTTGAAATATGATTTTTAGAATTAGGTCACGTAAGGGTATCTTTGGGCAAAATATGAGCGATTTGCCAAATGGGTCGTTGACCGGCGGTTCTCGATCCTAACAGTCAGCCATTCTTAATGACTGGCTCCTCGGGAAACAGTGAGTTTTGTTTCCCTTCGACCTCAATGTTCCTCTCGGCTTCGTCTCGGGGGAACTTTGAGGGTCTCGGCGAAACAAAACTCAGCGTTCTTAATATTATTTATCGGTATTGTGGTCCCAAATGAATTTGGAGTACCAGTAAAAAGATCATTTTTCCTCACCGTTCATGTTTCCATTGTATCTCTGTTGCTTTATTTGTAAAAAAAAAAAAATTCACATCTGCCTTCTTTCCGCGACACCAAGTGCAATGTTTTGCTATTTCCCCTTATGCTCAAAGAAATTATTTGTAAAGTAGCTGGCATGATTGTAACACAAATAAACAATAAATTCCAAATCTAAAATCTAAGATTCACAATAAACTACTGAAAGTTAATATTGAAGATATTAGTAACATCCATTATACATATGTTTGTTCTTGATTGTTTTGAGTTAAATACAAAAGAAAAATTTCTTCGCTTGAGGTTCAATAGTGTGAACACTACAAACAAACTTCCCACTGAACTAAAACTTACTAATATTTAGCGAAGAAACACATACAAACAAATTAAATAAACACACAATCCACCTCTAAGAATGTAGGATGGAACAAAGTAGACTCAATCTAACACTCGGAGCTCCACAACTTGTTAACCGTTGACTGCAATTCAGGTTAAGCCAGCCAAATCAATATCAAGTCATAACAAAAATAGTCGGAAAGCGGGTAGCTTAATATATTATTCTCGGGGTCTCGAAGATGAAACTGAGGTTCTCAATACCATCTCCCGATCCTGGTTGCGGAGGAATCTTGTAATATAATCAGAAAAAGGTCAAAAAAAGGTCCAAAAAGTGTCCAAAAATATAGTCCAACAGTCCAGGTCCAAGACTCCACTGTTACAGTCCATGTACCTTGTGCCTCCTGCCTACTATTGAGATGGAGGTGTTAGCCTTTTAGCGAGAGATGGTAGCTTGAAACAAGCCGCCCTCTTCGCGCGATAATTACAAATGAAAATTTATTCCGAAGTTTGGCCTAAATTAATTATCATTTATTTAATAGAATACAAGATTTGCAATTGTTTGCTTGGAATGGATGTCATGTTACTTGGTGGCTCTAAGTACGCTAGAAGTATACAGTTGATTAGTATTTGAAGCTCTTTGGATGAGAGATGATCGTTCAAATAAAGACAATTATTCTAGTACGAGTCAAGTTTATCACAAGTTTTTTTACTAGTCCTCGTTTTACAAGTCCCCGCTTCACAAGTCCACGTCTTACTAGTCCGCGGTTTACAAGTCCAGTCCAATCCAGTCCAGTCCAGTCCACGAAATAAAGTATGCCTAACTGAATAATTTCCAAACAGTAAGACGAAAACAAACAAACAAACAAACAAACAAAACAAGATCGGCTGTTAGATTAGCGCCCTAACCTGTCGTTCATCGAACTGAATGGGCCAATAACAGACATTTGATGTGATCGCTTGGTCGATCATACGATACCTGTGTTAATCTATGCAAATCATCCACGTTTACATATTGTGCTAGAACTGTTGTTGTCACGCACAAAAAAAGTGAAGCAAGATAGCATAATGTCGCACGAAAACACAGCGCATCGGGAGCCAAAAGGACGCAATTCAAGTTGGAATCCCCTTAGGTTTAAGAAGAACCAAAAAGAACCTGGGGAATGCGAGTTACAGGCTTTACGGGTCGATTTCGAGCCCGAAACAAAACCTCCTCCTACTTTTGTCTATTCTCAGGAAACGAGCGAAATAGTAACCCCCGTGTCGACTCATACTCTGAAGCTACTGGAAGCAATCCGCGAAGACAAATTGGAATTCGTCGAAGAAGAACTCAGCAACATGAAAATGCAAGATGTCAATAAGACCGACAGACATGGCTTCGCACTTATTCATGTCGCAGCTCGATACAACTTACACAGAATCGTGCCCTTGCTGTTGGAACATGGAGCACACATTAACATTGGCACAAGTGAACACCAGTGGACACCCCTTCATTTAGCTGCCAGGTGTGTTAAATGTACTCTACAGTGCTAGTATCTTGCTTTTCTTTCACTAACGACTACTTGCTTTTATCAGAACGTCTAATTTAAAGCTGAGGATGAACGTTCTTATTTTTTTTTTTTGCGATTTGAGGCTGAAAACGTTCGTAAGATGTTCTTAAGGTTACTTCATACCTTCGCGGGGCTACTTGGTCGATTTTTCTTTTTTTGGTCAAGAAAATTAATGTCCGCGAAGCAAAAGCGGGCTCTAGCGCGATACACGAGCGCTTTTTCTCGCCTCACGCTTCGCGCTCGTTCTCGCGCCTCGCGCGCGCTCTTGTATCGCGCTAGAGCCCGTTAATCCGCCTGTAGTGCAGACTAGATTTCTGAGGATGGTTTTCAGCGAGGGCTGATTTTGTATTAATGCCCTTAAGAGTGACTTCCTGTAAATACTACGGATAGGTGTGCAAAATGCAAAAATCGAATTCCCTCAAACTTTTTCACAAGAAAGCCGTCTGGAAACTACTTAAGAAAATACAAGTTTTAGTTTGTTTGGATTTATATTTTTCAAGTAAAGCGATTTTTTGATTTTCACCCTTGGAGAAGCCCTTGAACCACTGAAAAATGTGCTTCGTATTTGTGACTTGTGTAAGTAAACTAAAACAAATATCAAAACTATTTCGANGCTCCCACCATCGTCACTCGCGGCACTTGGCATTCTCTTCGCGGAAGGACTGTTGGATTCAGCTTCACAACTTCTTCCCCTTTTTAAATGGCTCAATTTTTCTTCTTGAGCTTCCCTTGAAGTAACACACAAATGTTTGAAACCAATTGCTGACTCTAACTTAATTTTACAAGGCAGACAGATCTTCTTCGGGTACGGATCGTCAGCGTTTAAAGTGATTCTTGTTAAATTCTCGAAATTCAAACGCGTCTTTTCAGCTTCTCGGCTGCTACCAAACAACAAGAGAGGATGGTTTCGGTCATGAATGATACCATTGCAGGCGATGCACTGATTATGGGGAAACTGATAAGTTTTCTTGGGCGTGGCCGCCATATTTCGCGAGGTTTTATTTTCATTTTTTGGAAAAGCGCGCCAAAGGGGGCTGGCCCGCGGCATGCGGGCCGGAAGTAAAATGGAATGCGTAGTGCTTTGTAATTTCCATTTCTGCTGCGCATTAATTTTTTTGTCAGCCAATGAAAAAATTCGAATTTTTGGGTGCGTCCAGAGCTACTCGTCAACGACATTTTTAGACGAGTAGCACTGGGGACGAGAATGGCCTACACACAAACAACGCACACCAAACTGCTCAGAGCACATGGTCGCAAAAATCACGTGACACGCACAATCAAATCTTCGCATTATTTATTCACTTTGCCTTGAGAATGGTGTCACGATGACGCCGAAACGTGGGCTTTTAACATTAATGTTCGCCTGCTTATGTTTTATTCAATTCATTGCCTCAAAGTCGAGCGTATACATGATTTCTCATGGTTTAACATGGCATATAGTTTCTTGTCAAAACTTATTCGGACTACTCGAGTACTGATTATTTACTTACTTGCCAGACGGAATTTGCTTGTTTTACAACAGCTCTACAGCATAAATTTACTTGCATCGCAAACCTTCAGATCCTGTCCAAGGGGCGATTTCAAGAAAAGGAAAACTTATTTTCTCCTACTCGAACCATCGTTTAAAATATGCTGAACGACAAGCCATCGCACGTTATTGCCTGTAAACATGAACACGAAGGGGCATTTATAGTGGGCCGGGAAAACCAGTTAATGTGTTTTTTTTTTTAATTATGTATTTTCTTTAGCTATATTTTCTAGTCATTTCTTTATTTAATTTCATATTTTTTTCATAAATATTATAATTTGTTAATGTTTTTTCGATGTTCCGGAATGTTCCGGGATGTTCCGGAATGTTCCATGTTCCATGTTCCCGCTTTTATCGAAGGCCCCCAGGGCATGACTGCAAGATTAAATTTAAAAAAAAATTAAAAAAAAAGCATAAACTACAAAGATAAATAGGGAAGGTTCAAATAAAATAGAATAAAATTACAGTCTACCTGCCAACCGGTTATACCCATTTGCCAAAATAAATTATGTCGTTATGTTAACCAAAGATGACAGCAAGGTTTTATGTTATCCGAGGCGAAACTGTCCGAATTTTTATCCCTATCGACATTCTATTTTTATAAGAATATTGCTTTCAGTTTCCCGCTGAGGCTGAACATGCGATAGGAGTGTCAAATTAGCTGTCGTGTTGTTTGAATACCTTCGCGTCGGCTTGCAATTTTTTTTTCACAAAATCCCTCAAACCATGTATTGGATGTTGCTTTCCATACGAAGGACTTAGCAATGATTAAGACTGAGGATGTATATTGGAACAAAGCGAATATTTCTGTGGTCTGTAGATCTCTCTTTTGATTGGTTTTAACACAATAAACATTCCAGACGTACTTTAGTGTTATTCCAAACGTCGTGTTACTGCCATACTGAACATTATTCAAGAATTAATTCGTTTATGGGAGGGGGATGAGTGCTAAATTAACAATTTTTTCATATACCCCCTTTCTAAAACTGGATTTTTTTTTTTCAGGTCCTTCCAATTTTATTAGGGAAGCATTAATTTCAATACCCCCTCCACAACTTTTAATGTCACTTTAAATTCACAGTTAGTGTAGTTTATCTTGAGGACGCGGTGGTGGTCACTGGTGAATTGGACCTCAGATGCCTGGTCTTACAAGTATCTATCAGCAATAGCGAACGCAAAAGGTCGATCTCGCCGAATGAAAAGGGTTTGGGACACGCGTTACTCGCGCGCGTAACCGCCTCACATGCCTTATAATCTTTACTGAATTTTGAAAGGAAAACAGACTGTCTAATTTTCGGAGTAGTTCATCGAGTTTCAAGATATATGGCAGGGCTGCTCCAAACCATATCTCAATGCCATTTTGGTAATGTTTTATAATTGACATGTAAGCCCTTCGTTTGTATGTTGTAGGTTCAATGGCCTCTCCACCGTTAACGCTCTTTTACAAGGGGGTGCAGACCCTTCAAGCAAAGGTAAAAAGAGAAGCACTCCATTGCACTTTGCAGCGCGCAGAGGAAACGAAGAGATCGTTAAAGTTCTTTTAGAGCAACCGTTAGTCAAGGTTGATGCAAAAGATAGCTATGGAAAAACTGCCTTGCACATGGCATGCAGTGAAGGACAAAGCAGAATTTGCCAGCTTCTACTGGACAATGGAGCGGACATCAAGTCGGTTACGACAGACAACACGACTCCTCTCCACAACGCCATTCTGAATGGGCATTCAGAGGTGGCAGAAATGATACTAAACCGAGGTTAGAAAATAGACAGATTAAGTCCGTCAGTCGCACGAGGTTTATTCCACATCAAATGTCTGTGGAAAAGTAAGGGTGGCTGGCTAGCATTCTTAATTTTTTATTTAAAGTATTTTCAAAGCATATTTAAAAAGGAACAGTGAGGCGAAGCCAAATCGGCCTGAGGCTGAAAACTGGGTGAAAAACAGTCGAGGGTTGTGCCACGGGAAGCGAAAGAGCGCGTTCTTTCGCTTTCATGCGCATCACCACTTCCTCATCTTTTTTCTCTCGCAGCCATTTAGTTATCATTGAAACCATCATTGAAGTTAGTCCTAAAATGTATGTCCGCTCTTTCCCAGCCGCTGACAAAGATAACCATACGCTTGAATTAAAGAAACTGCTAGATAACAAGGACTCGCAGGATAACACTGTTTTGCATATGGCTGCCTTGAATAACGATGTCAAGACCGCTAAACTGTGCCTTGACCATGGCGCAGACGTCAACACTAAGAAATCCAAGGAAACCACTCCACTACACGTGGCGGCCACTAAAGGGAATCTTGAGATGGCAGAGTTGCTAATATCACGAGGAGCTGGGGTTAACATGAAAGACGGAGATTCCAAAGCACCGCTTCACAGGTTGGAGTTTTTATAAGCTTGGAATCTATAATTAACTGTACATAAGTATGGCCATGTCGTACTGAGAGTGCTATCTGCCTCGTGTACTCTTAATAGAGGCCATAGCATGCCTATACAAGCCTTTGAAGTCGCTGCAAATGAGTTGAACGAGCCAAACAAAGCTAAATTAGAGCTTGAATTGATCATTTGATTCGCGGCACTAATCTAGACATGCTTAACTTCTGTGATTTCACCTAAATGACCTCACTATGTCTTTACTGTGTGTTAAATTAGCCAGACATTGCGACAAGAGCATGGTAAGCAGTGGAATCGGGTATTTACTTCTATACTTCATCGAAAAAGTATTTGACTTGTCACTGATAATCTTGATACAATTCCGTCCTAGAGCTAGCTTTCCGACAAGGCCTTATCGTAGCTCAAAATAAAAGCAAATAACGCCGGCCAACAGCAGCTAGAAATGTCTAGTCCATTGCACGTCTAAACCCTAAATTGATATGGCTAAAGCTTTTTGCTGTCTAAAGCAAGCATAACATTATTGCCACAGGGCAAACGGCGTACTATTACGGGGCTAAATGTCGCCCCGTTTACACCTCTCAGGCCCGCCTCACGTACGATAGTGGACGACGTTTGCTAGCAAATCGTTAGACTTGCGCCTTCATTGGACTTAATGATGTCCTCGGGCAGACTTCCTTTAGACAGTAAATACAGAACGCTAATCGGTCG